GTGTATCAGAGATCGTTTTCCAAATATTGGGGGCTGGTTCCTCACACCAAAACAAGAGCAAAAGTCCATAAAAATATATGTCCACAAATCTTTCGTGTTTGAGTTACTAAGTTTAAAGAAAGTTTTCGGTAGATGGCGTTGTGTCTTCCTCTATACATGTACATATGTATCTAGTCTGTCTTCAAGGTTTAACGTGTGTAGTAGTGAGTTAACTGAAAAATGCTCCGTTTAACAATGTCAGGATAATTATATTGTGAGCATATGATTTTATATATATCCACGCGAAGATTAATGGACGCGAGGCTGCATGGCTGTATAAGATTGTGCTTCCAGACCGCGGGCAACCGAGTCATCCAAATTTTGCGGCTGTTTTTCGTGGCATTGCTGAGACAGGGCCCGTGGCAAAACAAGCTATCGACCGAGGAAGACCGTCATCCATTGTATGTTGTATGAGGCAACATTTGAAGGAGATGGAATAAACAATTTACACAACAAACATTTCATGCGGATCGGAATCCTAATGGTACAATACAGACTAGACGCCATCATCCAGTTTACGCTTAATATGTGAGATGGAATTGTAGTTGACTGTCTGGTAGGTCCATATGTTTTTTTTCAGCGCTAGTTACCGGAGCTGTCTACAGGGACTTTCGAACACACTTCTAGACCTGCTGGTTTGATGTAGATCAGTTAATAAACACACACACACACACACACACACATATATATATGTGACTCTCTCTCTTTCTTTCTCTCTCTATATATATATATATATATATATATATATATATATATATATATATATATATATATATATATATATATTATATATGCGGTACATATTAGAAAGCGCTCAATATCAGAGATAGAGCTAACATATTTGTTTGGATTGATGTAAGTTTTGACATTTAGGCTATATATATATATATATATATATATATATATAGATAGATAGAGAGAGAGAGAAAGAGAGAGAGAGAGAATAATGTGTTCAACTCTCTGCATCAAATAAACATTTTCTTATTTTGAATTATCATTGACGTTGATAATACCATAGACTCTGATAATACCTCTCTGATATAATATATTCGTCTTTAATAGGTTGCAATATCACCATTGTCCAATAACTACACAGATTTTTGTAAACAAACTTTAATAACTGACTGATTGATATTTAACAATGAAGACAAGCTTAGAGAATATACTGGGTGTAAGAGCAAAATTTTCCAAATCGTTTAACAGCCAAATTTTACAAGTGGTAGATTAAACTTTGAACCGCTGTATCTTGGAAATGATTAAAGATATCTTACTGGAATTCTCCAAGGTTTTTATAAGCCTATTGGACTCTATTTTGAACAATATATGCGTATTAAGTTCTAAGTTAAAATTATGATCCCTCTTACTGTTGTGATCTTCTGATCCAGATTTCCTCTCTATTGTTCCCGCATTCTTAAACTTCTTCAACCTTCTCGTAATGGTTCTTGAATGGATTTTTACGATGTAGTATGAATGAAGGTGCATTTACTGAGGGCCTGAATGATCTTTTTTCCTCTCATCATTGCTCATTTGGCAAGACATAGTGAAGATGACTCAAAATGACACAAAACGATTTTAACCTGTTCTTTTCTATCTGAAAATAAAAGCATGTTTCTCAGTGACTCTTACGACGAATGTCAAGATGGCTACACCTGCTATCTGGAAACCTGGAAAAATTGACTTAATTATGTTAGCGCGTATTTTTTTAAGATATTATCTTTTGTGGGATGTATAATTATCGCATGCTGTTACACACACAATCACTCTCTCTCTTTCTCTCTCCCTCACTATCTATCTATATATCTATCTATCTATCTATCTATCTATATATATATATATATATATATATATATATATATGTAATGAAAGGTATGTGGCATGCGTGATTCACTCGTATGTGCTCATGTATCTTTCGATACAAGATGACGAGGAATATTTCCCCCATTTCTTTCTGCGGTAGACCAGTTGCCATCCAAAGCTCTAGAACCCGGTCTGTCCTGCCATTTACACATAATTCGGTGGGGAGACTAGAATTCAAATCATTCCCAAGGGTATTAGCACGTAAGGGAATGTAATGGATTCAAGTGAAATTCGAACTCGGCTCTTCTATTCCTCAAGGCGAGCCGCCACCCATTATTCCATTGTAACGACATTGTAAGATGCGTTTAGAATAAATGTTTTCATTAATTGACATCTTCCATGCATATGTGACTTCTCACTGGACTTTTTCAACCTTTGTAGCGAGTCGATCTTGAGAAAACGAGGCTTTCTACTTGGATTAATTATTATTGGGCACAATCTTAATAGTATAAGATATTCAGATGACAAAGTTTTGATAGGAGACAGAGAAAGATTATCACTGAAATTTCTACAGAGTATTGTAAAGGAAATCAACGAAAAACCACTATCAATTGTTAAAGAAACAATGTACAATTACAGGAAAATGAAGTAGGCAATAGTCCAAAAACGAATTAGAGATCCCAAAGTCAAACAAGTACAATAATTTAATCACTTGGTAAGTGTTGTAGCAGACTGGCTGACATATGTTCTGATAGATGTAGAAAAAATATAAAGACAGCGGATTTCGAATAGTGTTTTTTTTTTTTCGGAACCGAAGCAAAATTGGGACAATTTCGTGAGAAACAAGGAAGAAAGTGATAAACTATTGTGTAATATCGGTCCTTCTATACAGCATATACTGCACAATATGAATCAGAGATTTGAGTCGACAGAGATATGGGTCGATGGAAGAATGCTTAGAATATGTTATACTGGAACACACCTATTCTATAGTTAATAGACTCTCCCACCTATAATAAGTAGTAGTAGTAGTAATAGGAACGACTCAGTCGCGTGTCGCTCAGTGAGTTGGTCAGTCAGTCGATGTCGGACATTAAAGTATCAGCCACCACAACTAGATTGCTGCGTCATTACCTATTATATCAAGTTCCTAACGTTTTGTACGTCGAACCTTTTTAGGGCCGACTTAGTGAAATACAAGTCTCCACTGTCAAACTAATCTATAACAGAATACTATATACTGAAGATGCAAATGTCAAAGAATCTTTGAAGAAAATGGAAACAAATAAAGCACACCTACGCATAAAATCATAAAGAGACCTATTGAAATTTCTAGTACGTATAACGAGGAAAGACGGCTTGGAAAATATGAAACTCACAAAACATATTCAAGTTAAAATTGATAGAATAAAACAGCGAGAAACAAACTGTATATAAGGAGATTTTGCAAATGGATGATCCAAAATGCTCTTGAAGAAACAATAAAAAAACAAAACAAAACCTAATAGCTTCAAATGATAGGAAGGGGATCAATGATCACTCGACTTATAAAGAAAATTGACAATATTTGTTCTTCCTATCGCAATATTTCTAAGATTTCAAAATTTGTAAGGGACATGAGATGAAAAAAGCGACTTCAGATCGGATTGTTTTAAACTATACAAAGAGGCAATATCATTTTCTTTAACTTTAGGTCTTATCAACCGGTCTCTGATTATTTAAAGTCGAAATGTATTGTAAGAAAATTGTTTTGGAGATATTAATGTTTTTTCTGCTAAATTTCACTTACTATTTAACCCATAGCTGGGGGGAAATAAGTTGTATTCATACCTTTCTCATGGATGTATGCACGTACGTGAATATAACGAACCCGCCTGAAATTCGAATTCTGCTTTCAGATTTCTCATTTCGAGAATTTATCCACTACACCCCGTACATCCAGGGACCTGATATTCCCCAGCGGTCATCCATCTAGGTACTGATCAGTTTCAACGTTGCTTAACTTCGGTGATCGGACGAGAAATGTTCTTTCAACGTGATATAGTCGTATGCCTCTTAATATTAAGAGAGCTATTAGCCGTATAAGGATTTAATATAGGTGGGACATATCTATAAAAGTTAGGCAGATTACATTGTTATAATGACAGACAGGAATAAACCTGCATCAATCTGTCTGCAAATTAGTAAATGAATGCAGGGTTAAATGGTAAAATGAAACGGATTATATGGCTACCAGTAAGAATAATAATTAATATTGTGAGCCCGAATTCGAGACCTCAAAATCTAAATCAATAAATTATCGAAATTTAAATAACTGGAAAATATTTTAAAATTTAATGGAACATTTGACACAGAAATCCCGAGCTATATTTGAATAGTGATTATTTACAAAGTGTAATATGACAGGGAAATACGTTACAAACAAAGAAAAGAGTGTTGAATGAGCCCTTCTCTTTCACAAAAACATATGAAACATTTTCCTCATAGATGAAAGAAAAAACTTGAGGTGTGGTTGGGCTGCAGAATGTTCAGCATACCATCGTCGGAGTACGTGTGCGAAAACGAACTTTAAGATAAAAGTAAAGTAAAGGTCCACTTATATTTAGAATCAGAAAGAAAGAGTTCAAAATGGTTTTGACATATCATGCGGAACGTAGTCTTGGAGAATTTTTACAATCGTAAGTTATAATGAAGAAAAATCCAGAGACGGATATGCAACATGGTTGGTCCTGATCTGGCATCCCGTCTGCAGTCGCTACCTCACAGTCGTGCTGTGACTTCCCTCTGTCTTTTCTACAAGTACTTTCATGGCAACGAGCTATTTTCACTGGTTCCCAAACGGCATGAATTTAAGCGTGCTACTAGGTTGTCATCTCGGTCCCACCCTTTCACTGTCGAAACTACTAAATGTAGCCATCACTTCTACTCCAACAGCTTCTTATCTTGCACGTCCCGTCGGTGGAACTCCCTTCCTATCACTTGCTTCCCTGTTAGCAATAATATTCAAATATTCAAATGTAATGTCAATCGACATTTTCCGATGCCATGACCTTGATACTTGCCCTTCTCTTTATCCTTTTCAAAATAGTCCTCTTTACTGTTACACTCACTATCTCTAACCCCTTGCGTGCTAGTGGCACTCCCGCCTTGCTTGGTGTCGAGTTGCATAAAAACAAGTCATGTAGAACATCGACTAACCTCCCTTACAAGCTTTTCTAAATGAATGAGAGAACAGAACGTGGGGTTTATAGTAAACAGACAGATATTCCTAGGCGATTCAAACGATACGAAATTATGGAGGGATTTGATAGACGACTGTATGAAAACGGAATATAGAAGAAAATCGATATAAAAACACCAAATTCGTTCGCCCATTTCCAAATATATCGGAAAACCTTTATTTTTTGCATCATATAGATGAATACTTTTATTTCCTTATATTTAAACGTGGTTTTTCTTTTGATATATCTTTAAATTTTGAGATTAACTATTTTATTATTGCTCCCATATCTCAGAATGACAAATTGATTGGTTGTCACCACACGATTTCCGCTGATATATTCTGAGATTTTCTCTAAGCTTGTCTTTATAGTTAAATATCCATCAGTCAGCTATTAAAGTCTGTTTACAACAATCCGTGTACTTATTGGGAAAAGGTTATATCGCAAGCTATTAAAGACAAACGAATTTGATATCAGAGAGCTATTATTATGCGCTAAATAATATAGACGGCGTATTAACAAAAATAGACACATTTCTGTCGCTTTGCTATGAGATCAAAATGACAAGTATGAAAAAGGATATAATGTAAAAGAAATTGCACTTCATTGTCGGCATGCGGCATTATAAGGTTGAAACATCGTCTCTTGTACAATCACCGAGTTAAGCAATGTCAGGCCTGATCGATTGCTAGATGGGTGATCGCTTGGGAATACCAGGTACTGTAAGCTTCGATGTGTGAGTGGTGTAATGGATAATAATTCGGAATTTGAAGTTGATATTCCATGTTCCAATTCCAGTCGGGTTCGTTACCTTTGCTTATACGCAAATAAGATATAAATCTACCTATTTTTCCCAGCTATGTATTAATAAGTAGAACTTGTATAAATATATATATATATATATATATATATATATATATATATATATATATATATATATATATATATATAACGTCAACGTTTTACAATCTAAAAATATTATTTGGCCTTAAATAACATGCAGTGGTGTGGTAAATGTAAAAAAAAAAAAAAAAAAAAACTCACTCATTATTTACATTATTCGGACTATTGTCCTATCTTTGTCGCCATATTTATCACAACGTTTCGGCCGTTGTACGCTCCGGCCTTCTTCAGGTGGTTGGAATTTCGAACTGATCCCTTTATTTTGCTCACTGGGGTAGACTGTTCTAGTTCCACGTGCCATGTTTGATGGGTGTCAGTTATCAGTTATCTCCTGTTAATTACCCTCTGAAACCGCCTTAAGAAGGCCGGAGCGTACAACGGTCGAAACGTTGTGATAAATATGGCGACAAAGATGAGGACAATAGTTCGAATAATGTAAATAATGTACCTAATACCTCATCTCAGAAATATAGACAAACTCACTCATTGTATGTCAAGAATGATTGCCTCACCAAATGAATATACATATAACCAGATTATTGAAAAGAGGATTTCAGGAAGTATTCTCTTTACCGTATTATATTCATATTATAAATTTTAAGTTAAGACTGATTCATTATGAAATTTGAAGGTTATTCACAATTAAATTTGAAATTTCTTGCCCAAGGTTAAGTCGTTTAGGTTTTTTTTCCGTACACACTTCAAAATAAATGCTGGATTTCAGATGAAAAAATGTTTATGCAATATTTTAAAAAATCATGAGGCAGAAAGCTTGAAACTTTTGCGGTAAAACGGAAAAGATTGTCCGATGGAGTTCACATTGGTTTGTAAGCTGATTTCTTAGGCATTCCTGTGAAAATAGATTTGCTTAGGCTTTCAGGTATATCCCCACTATTGTAGATTTCATTTTTTTTTATTTCTGTTATATTTTCTATGCCGAAATACCCTAAGGCTGCCAGTATCATTATTACAATTTCTTCTGGGCCTGAAGTTTTGTTTCTGTTCAATTTGATCAGTACAGTTTACACTTCGGTTTTTAATATTCCCATTCCATTCATATTTCTGTGCATTGTTGTTTTTTTTTTTCATTTCGTTGAGGAAGTGTTTTCCAATATATATTCGTTCCATCTCTACAGTATTTTTCTCTTTCTCTCATATCGTTGCTTCCTTGGATTTTATGCATCCTGTTGATGAGCATGATTTTTTGGCCTGTTAGGTCTTTTATTTTTATGCATATTTACTTTATCTTTGATACCCATTCTTTCCATTTCTGCACATTTTCCTTTGAGCAATTCCTCCTTAGACTGTCACCATTTGTTTCTTATTTCATGGAAGTAATTCTATATTCTCTTCCGTCTGTTGGTATCGTCTTTGTCTCCTTTTCATCATGTCGAGAATCTTTTCTGTCATCGATTCATTCTTTTCCTCTTCGTATATTTTTCTATGGGATGATCTCGTTTGATGATGACACCATGGCTCCAGTTAGTGTGTTCCATTTCGAGTTTCCATTATCATTTTGTCACTCGTAGCTGCCTTTTCC